AATCCCTTTAAAAGTAGATACTCAGGTCCCACTTGTATGAAGACTTATCTAGAAGGAATTATATCATGAGCATTTGCCCATGTCACTGAATATTCCTTAAAAACATGGTTTTTAATAGCTGCACAGAATTCTCATGTAGGTCTAAAACTTTTTAATTTAATTTTATGGACTTCCCTGGTGGCGCAGTGGTTAAGAATCCACCAATGCAGGGGACACGGGTTCGATCCCTGGTCTGGAAAGATCCCACATGCCACGGAGCAACTAGGCCCATGCGCCACAACTACTGAGCCTGCACTCTAGAGCCCACGAGCCACAACTACTGAGCCCACATGCCACAACTACTGAAGCCTGTGCACCTAGAGCCCGTGCTCTGCCACAAGAGAAGCCACCGCAATGAGAAGTCCATGCACCGCAAGGAAGAGTGGCCCGCGCTCGCCGCAACTAGAGAAGGCCCGCGTGCAGCAACAAAGACCCAACGCAGCCAAAAATAAATAAATTTATTAAAAAAATAAAAATAAACTTAATTTTATGACAAATCCAGAAAAACCACATACCATCATGATCGTTTTTGAACACCATACTCACAAGAGTCAAAAAGCATTTTATGAAAGCACCAACCACTGACATCTTTGCCACACCTTTTTCAGAAACTACGCCAAAGGATTCTTTGTCGGGGGCAGGGTCAGAGGAGTAGATTATGAGGAGGGTGAAGACAGTTAGGTGATCCTCTGAGACTTACCATTAGTAAAAATCTACCACTGAGGGTTTTTTAAACAGATGTCTTTAAGGGACAAGGATACAATATACCTCAAAGTAAAGCAGGAAAAGCAAGGTTTGTCATAATCTAATTAAAGTAAGACTGAAGACTAAAAACAAACACACTATAACCTAACAAACTGAAGGAAGTTAGTAACCAGAGGGAAAAGAAAAACAGCAGCCCGTGTGAAGTCTAGGGAAATGAAAACCTAAGAGTAAGACTCTTGTTACCTGCCTCTCATCCTAGAAGCTGGGGGTACGCCTGTTAGGGATGCAAGCCAACCTGGTCTGTTAACATTAGTCACTAAGATCATTCAACTAATTTCCCTAGCTGATGTCATGCTTACCAATCAATCTCTTAATTATACTTTGGCTTTCTACAGGCAAAAGAATACACTGACCCACCAGGTACAGACAAAGCCAAGTAGGAGCTGAAGCACAGTACCTGAACCTTGCTTACCATATGCTGCCCAGGGAATGCCAGCTTATAAAGACCCACAGCAGTCACTGGCCAAACTCTTTTTCCAACATTTCCCCCATTTTCTCTTTAAAGAAATTATTTCCAATGGCCTACTGACTGGAGGCATCAAAGTGTCTTTATAAACAATACATACCACCTGGTCAAATGAGAAGGCTAAAACAACAGCATGCTATGAGTAAAAATGATAATCACTGAAGAATGAGGAATTATTAAGTAACAGGAAGTTATTAAGGCAAAGTATCCAGTAAACAATCAAGACTTTATATCCCCTTATTTCAGTAGGGCTCAGAACAAGATTTACAAGACGTTAAGAGAACGCAAGTGAAAGAAGTAGAAGCAACTTCTAACAATATGACTATTAAAGGAACCACAAGGGCTTGCCTGGTGGCGCAGTGATTGAGAGTCCGCCTGCCCATGCAGGGGACGCGGGTCCGTGCCCCGGTCTGGGAAGATCCCACATGCCGCGGAGCAGCTGGGCCCGTGAGCCATGGCCGCTGAGCCTGCACGTCCGGAGCCTGTGCTCCGCAACGGGAGAGGCCACAACAGTGAGAGGCCCGCGTACCGCAAAAAAAAAAAAAAAGGAAACCACAAAGTCCTTCTTGAAAGACGAGCTGTCCCCATTTCAGCACACGAAGGAGCTTCTGCTATCACTGGAGCCCTTTGTTACTGCTGTGTGGTCACTGCTTCTCTGCCTAAAGCCACCCCTGCCAACGGTATCTCCTCCAGTAAGGGTCTCAAGCCACGCCCCATCACTGATGCTGCCGGGAGAACCTGCATCTGCACCATAAGGTGGGTTTCGCTGAGAATAAATAAGCGACATCCAGTGGCAAGACTGAAACAAGCAGGCTCCAAGGGGACATTCAAGGAGAGGGAGAGATCAAATCACCTAGGAGGGACAGAATATTGAAGTACATTTTTAGTAGTGAAACCCATTTTTTCAAATGAATTTATAAGAGCCATATTATAAAAAGTAAATAAAGTCACTGGTTAAAAAAAGTTATTTCATGTAACAAGTACTTTACACGGGTCAATAAATGAGAACAAGGAGGCTATGTTTTTTTAATAAATTTATTTATTTATTTAAATTTATTTTTGGCTGCACTGGGTTATTGTTGCTGCGCGCGGGCTTTCTCTAGTTGCGGTGAGCAGGGGCTTCTCATTGCGGTGGCTTCTCTTGTTGAGGAGCGCAGGCTCTAGGCACGCAGGCTTCAGTAGTTGCAGCACGCAGGCTCAGTAGTTGTGGCTCACGGGCTCTAGAGCGCAGGCTCAGTAGTTGTGGCACACAGGTTTAGTTGTGCGTGCATGTGGGATCCTCCCAGACCAGGGCTTGAACCTGTGTCCCCTGCATTTTGCAGGCGGATTCTTAACCACTGCGCCACCAGGGAAGCCCAAGGAGGCTATTTTTAACATAAACTTTTTTTTTTTTTTTTTGCGGTACACGGGCCTCTCATTGTTGTGGCCTCTCCCGCTGCAGAGCACAGGCTCCAGACGCGCAGGCTCAGCGGCCATGGCTCACGGGCCCAGCCGCTCCGCGGCATGTGGGATCTTCCCGGACCAGGGCACGAACCCGTGTGCCCTGCATCGGCAGGTGGACTCTCAACCACTGCGCCACCAGGGAGGCCCTAACATAAACATTTTTATGAAAGCTTACAGGAGATAGAAGCAGTCTCGTATCAGCCTTAATAGCCAAGATCTGTGTTTTTTTTTAAGTGCAGATTCAAGAAATCACAAAAGTAAATTGTTCCAAATTAGTTTTAAAAGCTCTCCTTATACTCTCAGGATCCTCCTACAACTGACCCAGAAGCTTAAAAAAGAAATTATAAGGAATGCTTATTTCTAAGTTTAATCACTAACAATAACAACTGCTATCCTTACCATGAATTATTTATCGAAAACAAGGACAAGAAGTATCCACCACTGACAACAGGCAGTAAAACCGTAAGAGCACTATCGCTTCTCAACCTGTTTTGTGTTCCCCGGTCATTGCATAACTCTCACATCAGCACGCGCTGAGCAGATGTACTGGGCTGGCACCTGCTGCACTGCTGCACTGGCCAACGTGTGCGGGCCTGCTTTCCACAAAAGACCCGTGCATCAGATCAGCCTTCCTAATCAATGACACATCGACATGAAGTGCATGAATAAAGATGGCAGATGGAGCTTTATTCTGGTCTGTCCCAAACCAGTTAACCTAGTAGCACAAGTCACGTTATTGGTCTCCTATGCGTTAAATGTGGCATCTAGCAATATTTGAAAATGCATGTTGAGCTTCTTTAAAATGGTTAAAAACACAGGTAAAAGAAATTCAAATAAACAACTGCAGAGCCCCTGAAGCATCTTTTACTAATGATCTACAGTAAGTTGGTCAGAGGTCAGCTCTGTGTATTAAAGAGGTGGTGGTGACAATGAGGGCGTATAAAAGAAAAACTAACAGCTTTGTCAAGTAATGTTTTACAGATTTGCTATTGTAAAGTTAACTGCAATGTTGCTAAGAAAAATATTTCTAAGATCTTCTTGTTCTGTACACTGCTGTTCACTTAAAGTTGGATGAAGCCGATTATCCTGACCTATTTCTACTATAACAAAGACAGAAACCTGGCTGAAAACTCAAGGTTTCTTTTTATCATTAGAGAAACAGTCATTTTTTACAGCACATTTGCAATTCTCTGTTCCTTTTACCTAAGAGTGTTCACATCCTTTTTTTCCCAGAGTATAGTTATACAGAATTATAACTTCTGATCTGCCCGTTCGTATAATGAAATCAACTGTCTTCTTCATGGCGGTTAAGAGCAGGGAATGTGCAGCCAGACCTGAGTTCAGCACTAACTGTGAAACCTTGGACAAAACACTTAACTTTGTGCCTCAGTTTCCTCATCTTAAAAAGAGACAGTAATAGTATGTTCCTAAGGTTGTTGGTCAAGATTAAATGGGTTATAACAGAAGCAAAGGAAACGGCACATTTTAAACGGTTAGTAAGTGTTCGCTATTATTATTTTTAAAGAAAAACTTAAAGGAGTCAAAATACTCAAAGTATGAATCTACTACCAAATTTATATAATAAACTTTCTGACAAAAGTTCTAAAAATGTTAGATGTATCCCAAAGGACCAAAATGAATTCTCATTACACCATGTACCATTATTTACAGAGGCTGTTCCCTAAAAGTTCACAAGAGTATCTCGGAAGTACCTCAGAGTTAAGGAAAATGAAGAACGACTTTCTTCACAGCCTGTAAAAACAAAACAAATCTGTTTGGGCCGACTGGGTCATAACAAGCACGAATGTGGTTCCTGTATTCAGTTCTAACTACAGCTGCAGACTTTGTTTAAAATTTCTTTAAGGAGGAAAAAGAAAGAGGACACTTAACCTGCAACTACAGAGCAAGACAGCAAGATGCAAGAGGAGACGTGGAAGTATTTTCCTTACAGGGGACAGGGGGCAGCAGTTTGCAAGTTTACACTGGGATGCAAAAGACAGGGGTAAGAGGGCATCTGAACGTACACACGGAGGCATATAAGAGAGAAATTCTTAGTTATGGTGAATTTCATCTCCCGATCAGAAAAATGACGTAAGAATTCATTAATAGAGCCCCTAGGGAACAGAATGCAATGAATGCTTTGGGTACCAAAGTTCCATATTAGAGCTTCCTGTGGGAGCAAAGTTTTGGACAAATCAATCCTTCACTTGATGTGCACGTGTGAGCAACAATCTGCACAACGCTACTACTCACGGCCGGTAAAGGGCCCTCAGAAAGAGAAACCAACCTGTTTGCACAGCCCGAATGCAGTTTCTCACAGGAGAGACAGCAGGCACACTCGGGGGGAGACAAACGGAGGGCAGGAGGAGAACGAAGGGGCAACAGCCAGTGCGCATCTGCTTCACGAGCGTCTACCTCTTTACTTGAGCGGGGGCGAACGGGAGGTAGCATTTTCGCTTAGTAACGAGGCGCGTAGTTTCAGCGCGGCGCCGGTTCGGAAGCCTTGGAGGGGGAGGGGAGGGGAGGGGAGGGGGAGGGGGAGGGGTGCCAGTCCCGGCAGGACCAGGGGCGCCCCGCTACGCTCCCGCCCCGCCGCATTCCCGGCGCGCGGCGAAGCCGCAGGGAGGGCCGGCGGGCTGAGCGCTCGGCCGGACCCGCGGCGCCCCGGCAGGAGTCCCTGGGCCGACCCGGCCGCCGTGCCCTCCGTCCAGGGCTGCACCCCGCCCCTCTGGCCCGGCAGCCTGGATGCTCCCGCACCACCTGGCGGGAAGCAGAGGCCCCCCACGCCCCCTCGGGCCCCCGACCAAGCTCAGGCCAGGACGAGACCCGCTTTCTGCGCCGGGCCCGCCGCGGCAGCCCCACTCACCTCGCCGCCCGGCAGCGCTCCGGCTCGGGTTCGGGTTCCGGCGGCGGCGGCGGCGGCGGCGGCGGCGGCGGCGGCGGCGGCGGCGGCGGCGGCGGCGGCGGCGGCGGCGGCGGCGGCGGCGGCGGCGGCGGCGGCGGCGGCGGCGGCGGCGGCGGCGGCGGCGGCGGCGGCGGCGGCGGCGGCTCCTCCATGGCGGCGGCGGGAGTGACGGCGAAGGCGGGCGGCGGGACCAGCTCGGCGGCGGCTTCTCTCATCCGTGCACGGAGCCCCGAGCCATCTTGGAGACGGCGACCGGCCAGCGCCGGGCTACGGCGGGTGGCGAGGGACAAGCTTCCCAGGGAGGCGGCGGCGGGCGCGGGGATGGACCGGCGGGGAAGGCCGGGGAGGGGAGGGGAGGGGTGGAGGCGTGGGAGACTGGGCGGCAGACAGCTAGCAGGTTGGGGTAGCGGCGCTCTGTCCCGGGGGCAGGGTCTCGCCGCCGCCGCCCTCTGGCTCCGCTCGCGGGGAGTGTGCGGTGGGCTGTGCGCGCCGGTGCTCCCAGGTGGTCAGCGGGGGGCGTGCACCGAGGGCCCAGGGAAGGGCATCGCGGCCTGGATTAGGCGGCGACTCCTGACTTTGAAGTGCTTTGTGAACTTTAGCAAGAGGATCGTCGCCAAACGTAGATGCCATCCTCAGAAACAGGGATGGATGTAACGCTCACCGCTCACACGCGGCGTGGAGGCTTTGGGAGACCTGTCAGTCCTGGGGGGCCGGGGGTGCACTCCGATGAAAGAGCAATCTTCAACACACACACAAGACTCAGGGTTCTGAGACGGTGTAAACAGACTCTGGAAACGCACAACATTAAAGTTACCCTGCTATCAACAGGGCGGGAAAGAACACTGATCTAACCTTCTAACCTCTGGAATCTGGTATTGATCTTCCAGAAACTCGGGCTGGAGTGCTCCTACACTAAAGGGAAAAAAAGAAAGAAGAGAACAGTTCTAAAGATTATTTCAGAGTTGTAAAAATACTGTTGAAATATCACCGCCTCATTTACTCTGAGAGCATCTGAGGCTTCACAGTTTTAATTTGCAAATATTTACAAAATTTCCCTTAAGGTGAGGTCCAGAGTTAATTCAAAACCAGTATCGTTTAAAATTAAGTACATTTCTATTGATTCAAATGCACTGGTTTTCAAAAGCTCATTTGGTGGAGCTTGAATATGTAAAATACACGTTTTGATTAAACGTTGGTGAGAAAAGTGGCCAAGATGGAAAAGTTGAAATGTGATTATATTTAAAGGCCAGTTAGCTATGTCGCATTCATAAGTACATTATACTGTATATACATATTCGTGTATTTCACATATATGTGTAAAATTAGCTATAGTGCATTCAAAGTACGTTACAGAAATTTCTCTGTAGTTTAAGAACTTTTTCAGTCTATTTTCTTTATTAAGATAGTCTATTATTATATGACCTGGTAGTGCTGAATTCCCAAATTGACATTCATTTTATTTACTCAAAAACAGTTATTCAGCAAATAATTACTAAATGCATATATGTGCCGGGAACTAAGCTAGACGCTGGGAATATAGTAGTAAGCAAAACAAAGTCTTTTCCTGGTAGAGATAACATCCTAGATGAGTAAGGGGAAGAGAGAGGACAGAAGAAAAACAAACAAGTAAATACTTAGCATATCAGCGGGTGATAACTGCTATGGAGAAAAGTAAGCTGAGAAGAGGCTGGAGGGGACAATGCTATTTTACACAGATTGGTCAGAATAAAGTTAAATGATTTGGTCATAGCACTATTTCAAAAGAAAATTGTGATAACTTCTTACTTATTGGATTTCAAATTTTCTTTTGAAACAGTGGTATGACCAAATCACTTAACTTTATCCTCACTAACACATCTTTAAGTATTGTAAGAGTCTGAATCAGTTATAGTTCACAAATAACTCCTGAAGACAGTCAACCTGGGGCCTGTCCTCATGTCTCCCCGCTTGTAAATCTATAATATTTGATGTATAGACCAGCATTTGAGAGATGTATGGTTTGCTGTTGTTTTTTTTTTTTTTTTTTTTTTTTTTTTTTTTGGTACTTGGGCCTCTCACTGCTGTGGCCTCTCCCGTTGCGGAGCACAGGCTCCGGACGCGCAGGCTCGGCGGCCATGGCTCACGGGCCCAGCCGCTCCGCGGCATGTGGGATCCTCCCGGACCGGGGCACGAACCCGCGTCCCCTGCATCGGCAGGTGGACTCTCAACCACTGCGCCACCAGGGAAGCCCTGCTGTTGTTTTAATTGCCACTTGAGGGTACTATTTTAGTAGAAATCAAACAAATTTACACTTAACTAATCATGTAAGGCATGTAGAGACCCAAGTTAACTAGTGCTAAGTGTTCAATTTCAGTGCTGTGAACTTTTTCTTCATTCAAGTTAATCTTCTGTCCCGTGTCACAGCCTTTTATGTTTCTGTTCTCCTGTTCTATGCCACTTCGTTTCTGCAATTCAGTACTCCAGATTTCAAGATCTGAATTTATTTCCTTCTTATGCACACCAACCTCACTTCCGCTCCTTGCCTGTGTTCTCTGACTTGATGAACTACAGCACCTTCACCTAGTCAGAACCCTGAACAACCACCCACTCAGCCCCTGACTGATGGGTCCAAGTCCCATCAAACTCTCCCTCCCTCCGGAATCCCTTCACTTCTCTCCATCCTCGCTAGCTAGCTCAGACCACTGTCACATGTCCCTGGATAACCGCGACAGTCTCCAGCTCTCCCTGCCTGTTGGAGTGCTCACTCCCCAACCAATCTCTTCTCACGCTGCAGGCCACAATAGCCTTTCTGAATCTGATCTAAACATGTCACTCTTATCTAATTCATTTTACTGACATCTCGTTGCTGTCACAATAAAGTCCTTACCGGACCTTTTTGAGTTCTTCACATGCTCCATACCTGGTCCTGCTACTCGGATTGTGCAAAAGGAGGTTCTATTCCATCACACTGCCTTTCCACTTGGCCCACCCTTTCCAGTCTAAGCCGTGCCTGCTTCTTCGGAGGCCACCTCTCACCTGGCGATAAGCTCTCCCTAGGGCAGGAACAAGATGCGGGCACTCCTGCAGGCTACGAATTGGCATCCATTCAAATGGTGATTTAAAAATAGTCCAAAAGGGAAAAACTGATTTCATCTTAATAAAAACTATTCTTTACACACTAATTCAAGGCCACTGTGTGAAGAAAACTCCTCAAAGTATTTCCCAGCTTTCTGTAATTCTAGTTTTCCTTTACAATCCTCCAAGCCAGAATCCTTCTTGGAAGACATATTAGCTTTACATGTTACAGAATCAAACAGATCCCTCTCCTCTAAATAACACTATACCATGTATTCTTCGATGTTGGTATTCAACCAGCTTTGACCACTGACTTTGAGGGAACAGGGAGGCACACACATGCACCTGCCACAGAAACACTCAGCAACACAGACCAGCGTCAGGGAGACTTGTTTTCATTTCCACCTGAGGG